TTAAAAGAATTTGCTGTTAGAGTTTATAACAGTTAAGAAAATAAAGCAAGCTCCTGGGTGACTCCTAGCTTCCAGATGCAGAGCATACCTGTACAACACTTCCCTGTGCAGCGCATTCTGACCAGTAGAAACCTCGTGGTACATTTTGGCTTAATTTATTGTGGTTGAACATCTTTTCCTAAAGCTCTTACTCTGTGTTTTCTCACAGAAAATTACTCTTTCTGCAGTACATCTAGCAGCTAAAATGGTTTATAGCAGCCGACATCAATGGCAGCTATTAACACATTATTTGTTACTTTTCCCCTTCAGTCTTTCATACAGTAAATGGCACAGCTATTGACTTCACGCAGTCAGCAATTTTAGAGAAATAGAGATACTTCAAGACAGTTTCAATGTGAGTTGTGTGGTTATTTTTTTCTCCTAACCACAGCAGGCTAGACTCAGGTTGCTGAAATGTAGTGTCATGATAGAAATGCTCCATATTTTAGACATATAAATAACCACCTTCAACGCAAATAAAAGACTAGATGATGTAGAAATATGGAATCATAGAATCCCTAGAGATGGAAAGGATCCTTAAAGGTTATGTAGTCCACCTCCCCTGAAATGAATATCTGGTATGGGAGTGTGTATGATGGAAAGATGTGTCATTGAAGTCCTCCATGTGGAAAAAAAAGGCAGTCAGTGACATTCATCAATGTATGCTGAATGTTTACGGAGACCAAACAGTGGATGTGAGCACAGTGAGGTGGTGGGTAGTGCATTTCAACAGTGGCAACAGTGAGACACCTCCGCAAATTGACTTCTCCGTTCATCTTTCATGCTATCACTCAGATGTTTTTTCACAAGATGAAACATTCTCACTTGTATAGCATGTCCACCAGAAGCCATTCTCAGCCATGACTGTCCAGTCATCTATATAATTTCTGGTATCACAACTGTTTTTGTGATAGAGGATCAACACAGAACTCAGTATTCAAGGTGCTGCTGAATACTTCCTGAAGTATTTATCTTTTGAATTCCATTGCATCTTTACATTTAACAGAATTTTATGCAGAGACACCTGAATATGAGCCAGCAATGTGTGCTTGCAAATCAGAAAGCTGATCTTATCCTGAGCTGCATCCAAAGAAGATGGCCAGGGTGAAGGACATCAATGATGATACCAAGCTGAGCGGTGCAGCTGACACACTAGAGAGAAGGGATGCCATCCAGAGGGACCTGGACAGGCTTGAGAGGTGAGTTCATGCCAACCCCATGAAGTTCAATGAGGCCAAGTGCAAGGTTCTGCACCCAGGCTGGAGCAATCCCAAGCACGGTTACAGGCTGGGTGGAGAATGTCTTGACAGAAACCCTGAGGAGAAGGACTTGGGAGTGTCAATTGATGAAAGATTCAACATAAGCTGTGTGCTTGCAGCCCAGAAGTCAACCATCTCCTGGGTTGCATCAAGAGAAGTGTGACCAGCAGGTTGAGGGAGGGGATACTGCCCCTCTACTCTGCTCTCATGAGACCTCACCTGGAGTACTGCGTCCAGTTCTAAAACATTGGGATGTTGGAGTGGGTCAAGAGAAGGGCCATGAGTTAGACTAGATATTAGGAAGAAATTCTTTATTCTGTGACGGTGGTGAGACACTGAAACAGGTTGTCCAGTAAGGTGTTGAATGCCCCCACCCTGGAAGCATTCTAGGCCAGACTGTATGGGCCTTTGAGCAAGGGAGCAGTTCCTATAACAGGGAGTTGGAGCCAGATGATCTTAGAACCCAAACCGTTCTATGATTCTGCAAGTCTATGATTCTCCCCCTCTACTCCACTCTCATGAAAGCCCGTCTGGAATAATACTTTTAGAACTGAGATACCTGGTACAAGCCATGGACCTTTTGGATCAAGTCCAGAATAGGTCCATAAGGAGGATCAAAGGGCTGGAACACCTCTCCAATCTCCTATGAAGACAAGGCAGAGAGAGTTGGAGTTATTTACTCTAAAGAAGAGAAGGCTCCAGTGAGACCTCATTGCACAGGAAAGACGGAGAGTGATTCTTTATCAGGGAGTATAATGATAGGACAAAATGTAGTTTTAAACTACAGTACGTTTAGATTAGATATAAGGAATAAATTTTTCATGATTAGGCTAGTTAGATACTGAAAAAGATTGCCTAGAGAGGCTGTGGTTGCCCCATTCCTGGCAGTGTTCAAGACCAGGTTGGACAGGGATTTGAGCAATCCAATCGAGTGGAAAGAGTGTCTTTGCAGGAGGAATTGGAACTAGCTGATCTTCAAAGTTCCTTTCCAACTCAAACCTTTCAATGATTCTGTGGGTTTTTTTGGATGCAACTAACTATTCAGTGATTGGTAGACTGCTGCAGTTTTGTAACATCTGAAAGAAGCAATGTCAGTTGTAACTTGCATTAAGATTTTAGTCGATTGTTTGTGGTGGCCAATTGATAGTTACCATCAAGGTAAATTTCAACACAATCATCCTCATAGACACACTGATGGAGTATGGGCTAAATAAGAGGACAGTGGGGTGGATCAAAAAGCAACTGAAGTAGTGGACTCAGAGAGTTGTGATCAGAAGAGCTAAATCCAAGTAGATGCAAGTCTGTAGTGGTATACAGCAGCAGTTAAAACTCATTCTGGTACTGTTTAACTCTTTATTAAAAACCTGGATGGTGAAGCAGAGTGCACTCTTAACAAGTCTGCAGATGTTTCAGAACTGGCTGACACACCAGGTGGTTTTGCTGGCATTCAGAGGAACATCAACAGGCTAAGAATTGGTCAGGGAGAAACATAAAGAAGTTCAAGATGGGGAAGTGCAAATTCCAGCACCCGAGAGGAAACAACTCAGTGCAGTTGTACATTCTTCGGCCAACTGACTGGTAAGCAGCTCTGCAGAGAATGATAGTCTTGTGGTTCTGGTGGAAAAAAGCTGAAAGATGAGCCAGTGATGCACCATCATAGCTATTAAGGCTAACAGCACTCAGTGCTACATTAGGAGAAGTGCTGCCAGCTGGCACAAGAAAGGGATTCTCCCCTTCCTCAGCACTGATGAGACTACATCTAAAGTGCTGTGTGCAGTTCTGAACTCTCCAGTACAATAGAGATGTGGACATAGCAGAGTGAGGATTGTGAAAGGCCAATAAGATGGTTAAGTGACTGGAACACTTTTTATGCAAGAACGAGCTGTGATAGCAGAGACTATCCAGCCTGGGGAAGGGAAGGCTCAGGGCTATCTGATCAGAGTATGTAAAGGAGAGGGAGCCAGACTCTTCTCAGTAGTGTATGGTGACAGGTAGTTGGCACAAAGTGTAAAATGGGAAATACCGACTGAAAGACACAAGTACACACTTTTTTGTTTGAGGGTGGTTGAAAATTGGAACAGAATTTCCAGAAAAGCTGGGAAGCCTCCTTCTGTGGAAACTTAAAGCAGTCATAAGTAATCTGCTTTAGCTAATCCTGCTTGGTGCAGTGGGGTATACTAGACCACCTCCAGAAGTTCTTCAGTGATTCTGTTAGAGACCTTCCAAGCTGACTCTTTAACAACTGGGGAAGGGTGAAGTCTGGAAGAGAAGAAATTAGTATAGTGTGGTGATTTGGGATTGCCATCCCAACTGCTATCAAAGGTCTAATTTGATCAGTCACCATTTTCTGATAGTAACAAAATATGCCATCTCCTTTAAATGCCTACATCATTAGCTTTTTCATTCTGGAGTGGGTGCAAAACACATTACTAGTGGAGCTGCTTAAAATTTCAGTTGGCTTGGAAACATACACAATAAGGTATTTCATAATCTTGTCACTGTCCAGAATTAGCTGGCTGGACTAAAGGTAATGTACTTGTTGTGACAGGGTTGCAATGGGAGAAGTTTTAACTGGAGGAATCAGACCTGATCTGGTATAGACTGGTATAGAAGGGTCTTCTTGCATGGAAAAGTTTGACTGGAGCTAGCCAGTCACATGCTAGTGAAAAGTATGTGCATCCTTTGGCCAACAGAAACACACAGGAATACACTCCTCTCAACAAGACACCAGTGCACAGATCCCTTTCTAACCAGGTCTCTGGATTCCCTCAGGAAAGACAGCAGCTGAGAACAGACACAGATAGAGGAATTGTCTTTGCAGGCTGCTGATAGTCCATTTATCTTTAAGGGAACAGTGAATTTCTGGCCTGTCTTCCTGTCTGTGGTTACATGGCTTTTGTGTTTGAGTCAGCATTCGTGTGTTGCAGAAGAGATAACATGCTTTGAAGCAGAACTTCCCAAAGTTATGGTTCATTTTCCATTTGAAATCAAAGTACTGAGGCCAATTTTTTGTACACCCGTGCTTTGCCATTCCTGCTAGCAGTTTCTTGACTTCCCAGATTAGGTGTGTTGGGGGGAACTCTATTGTTACTTGTTTTAAATGTCTTGGCTGTTCAAAGCCTGCCAGCGTTTTGTGGTATCAGCATTTCCTCTGACCAATCCACCATTTCTAACATTTCATCAGGCCAAGTTCCGTTTTCTTTTTCCTTTAAAAAAAAAAAAAAAAAAATCATGCATGCATGCACAAAAAAAAAAAAAAAAAAAAAAAAAAAAAAAAAAGTTTTCTGTATCTGCTGTATGGAAAGGTAACAAAACAGACTAAAATGCCTTTGATCTTTGATACATGCAATTATGGTTTCTTGAGTACAATGTCCTGTATTTTGTGAACTAAACTCAGGCTGGGACAGAAGCTGATCTGGATTGTCAAGAATCCAGTATAATAAGAAACTGGATGAGCTAAATGAATGTACTGATGTGAAAAAAGATGAAGTGGCTACAAAACAACAGATCAAACACCTGATGGTATTGAGCTAGGTTTTGTATTTGTGAAGTAAATGAAGAACATTTCTCTGTTACGTTAGTAGGCAAGACAACTGATTTGGCATTGAGATTTTGTGTCTTCTTATGGAAAGTTTAAAGTATGTGTCTGTGATTATCACTCTTTAGCTTCCCGATTTTCTCTGACGTAGGACAGTATTTCATTTTGACAGTGCTGAAACCGCTTCTTATGGTTTTCTTGCTTTGTTACTTACCTGCCAATTACCTTTAAATCTTCAAATAAGAGACGCTATAAGCCTCTCCCTCAGGGTGGGAAGGTTACCTTGCACACACATGCAAATTAAGGGAAAAAAAGCAGTTCCTAAAATGTAATGAGCTTCTTTTTTTGCAGTCACTCTGGACACAGGACCGATGCTTCCTGTACCCTGATGCACTGCAATATTTGCTTCACTGAGGTAGGTGCAATAAGCTACAGTCTTGCTTTCTACTTTAATGTGCAGTTTCATATTATTCACTCTTGAAAACCTTTGTCCCCCCCTTCAGTTCTCATTTCCATCTTCGTAATTGCTGCTTTCCAATGACTTACTTCATAGCTTTCCTTACAAGTCAACTCACCTAAAAGACTGTGAACAGTTATTACAAAAAAAAAAAAAAAAAAAAAAGTTAATTGCAATGTCTGTTGTAACCATTTACATAATTTTCTTTGTGATGGAACAGTTCAAACGCTGGAGTGATGTACTCCATCTTTAGACTATATGTTATACAAGAAAGAGAAAGATTATTTGGATGTGGTTGTCCTTATTTTGTTTTGTTTTTAATAATAGCATAGATTTAGACCTGCACTTAGCAGTCTGTGACTGGCATCTCATTACTGGCATAACAGAGGTTTAAATAGAAACAGTCTTGGTTTGCTTATTCATATAATCTCAGTTACTTGTGCAGGTTGTATTCAACTCTTGCCTATGCATTTTCTTTGCCTTCTGGAAATTCTTTTACTGATCATTCAGCAACATAACCATCTTCATTGATTTGTCAAGAGTGTAGTTAACAGGGATTTTAAAAACAATTTTGTTAAAGCTTACAAGATGAGTATTAAGCTCTTTTTCTCTGACCTGCTTTTGCTTTTCTAGATTTCTTAACTTCCTCTTCTTAGTTAACTAGCATCTATGTCTAAGAATGACTGAACAAATCAAGTTTTTCTACTGCCACCTCTCACAGTTTTAAACCACTCCAAGATGTTCTGTGACTCAGCTTCACTTTCATGCAATATAATAGCTTTTCTTAAACCTAAGTGGTTCAATAATCGTATTACTATTGCTCCTTATTTCTTTTTTATTCAACTGTATCTCTGTCATTCTTAAACCATTTATTTCTTGCCTTTCTCATCAAGACTAGCTTTCCAAAGATCTAGCAAAGAGCTCAGGACATATGTATAGGCTAGAAAAGAAAGGAGAAGGAAGTGCTTACTGTGACTTCCTTAAAAATGTCCTTTAACAAACAGAGTTGCTGTCTTATCCATTCTATTTATAATTTCCAGAAAATGGGGCAGAGTTATTCCAGTAAGATAATCATTGCCTTCTCAACCTAAGTCTATTTAACTGGTTATACCAGGAAAAGATTGCTCATTTGAAAGGGAAACAAAACTAAAATGCTAACATCATTCTGTAAAAGAAAACTGCATACAAAGCAGGAAGTTGATCAGGAAAGAAAAATGGTGATTTTGAGGGCATATAAATAAAGCGGGAACTTCAGTAGAGAATGAAAAGAACAAGGCTGAAATCAAAAAGGATGACAGAAATAGAAGAATATAAGTGCATACCGATCTCCTGTTTGAATAGTGGGCTTTGCTTAACTAAGCCACTATAAGAATGATGAAGCTGAATAATTTCTAGATCAGTAGAGGTAAGCATTTAGTGCAAACAAGTATAGGCTGATGCCTTTGTATCCATCCAGCTCAGTACTATTTCCTGACAGTACAGACAAAAAACCTGGGGAGGTGCCTACTAATTTCTTCTCTGTTTTCTAACTACAGAATGCCTCCACTCCTGGTTAACAGCAGTTCACATGAACAGGATGCTATATATTATGCACCAGAATCCATTGGCTCCCTGGTTATCTTCATCCTCGTTTTCATCATAGGTATCCCAGGCAATGGGTTGGTTATCTGGGTAGCTGGTTTGAAAATGAAGAGGTCTGTGAACATCATCTGGTTCCTAAACCTTGCTGTGGCTGACTTCATGTGCTGCTTGTCTCTGCCATTCTTCATTGTTCACTTGTTCCTCAACGAACACTGGCCATATGGTTGGTTTCTCTGTAAAGTCATCCCATCAGTCATAATCTTCACCATGTTTGCTAGTGTTTTCCTACTTACGGTGATCAGCATCGACCGGTGCCTCCTAGTGATGAAACCCGTCTGGTGTCAAAATCATCGAACAATTAAGTTTATTTCACTACTATGCAGTGGCATTTGGATCCTGGCCTTTATTTTCTGCTGTCCTGTCTTTCACTACCGCAACACGATCACTGATGGTGGAAAAACTGAGTGTGGGTACAGTTTTGGAGATTATGAAATACTAGAATATATGGATGACAGTTATCCTGTAACTGGGTTATTGGAAGAATACTCACCTTTAGTACCAGCTGTCACATATGTTGGCACCATCTTTGCTCATCAGCCTACTGATAGTTATAGTTACCTAGATTTTCAAGCAAACAGCATATCCACCAACAAAGGCATAATTGCAGAAGCTCACCTTTCTCATGCCACTGTAGATGTGAACTCCTTGTTAAATTCGACTGCCTATCCTGACATCAGGCTATTGGAATCTCAGAGTGATCTACCTAATACCAACTTGCCTGTACCATCCAACAGTGACTTCAATTTAAACCTACTTGATCCTCCTCTTGATTTGCTTGATTTTGACAGTGTCTTCAGTGGTAATGATTATGCCATGCCCTTTCCTTTAACTGTAATAACTATTACTAGGGCTGTCTTTGGCTTCATACTTCCCTTCTGCATAATGGCAGTTTGCTATGCTCTTATTGCTTTCAGGATGCGTGCAAGTAATTATCGTAAGCCACAAAGCAAGATGCTGAGAACTATCATTCTTGTGGTAGTTGCATTTTTTGTCTGCTGGGCTCCCTACCATATAGTTGGGATTCTGTCCCTTGTGGCTACTCCTGGTACAGAACTGAAGGAGTCACTGATCCTCTGGGATCATCTCTCTGTAGCACTCGCATATGCTAACAGCTGCATCAACCCTCTGTTGTATGTTTTTGTGGGGCGGGACTTCAGGGCAAAGGCAAGGCAATCACTGCAAGGAGTCTTGGAAGGAGTCTTTACTGATGAACCAACATGTTCAAGCCCTTACTCTGTTGACAGAAGCAAGACTTCAAAAGATAAGGATGTTAGTACCACAGTCTAATGCAGGACTTCTCATCATTACTGCAGAAAGAATTCTGTACATCAACAACTCTCCACTTTTTTTTGCTTTAACACATCTGATTACTGAACAGAACTGCACACAGGACACAGTGATGGTTCACATCAGATCTGCTAATCTGCTTTATATCCTACTATAGCAAGATGGGAAGTTGGAAATACTAAGAGTAATCTCTTGTGAAAGACCAGTGAAGCAAGAGACCCAGCATACATTAAAGAGTAAAGAAGGCTTGCAGAATGGTTTGTAGTGCAGTCATGTACTTCAATTTCTGAACTGCTGAATAACAAAATAATCAGTTATTCACATAAGTCTATTAAAGATGTTCTGCATCTCCTGTCTCTGATAAAATGCAGGTGAAACCAACACTGATGTCTCTCCTCTGACTATACTTGGTTCTGAAAATTTTTTTTTCTGAAGATACTTAGAGAGAGAAGTGCTACATTTTACTACAGCATTGCATAGGAACAACACATACTCCAGTCAGCTGCACTGAACTGATTTTCATTCTCTGGTAGATGTACAAGATATCATTTTTATCCCAGGAAATACATAATTGTACAGTGGTAACTGCACTAATTCTCATGCTGTAACTATGTTCATTAGTATGTACTCACTGGCTCCTCAGCACTCCTACCATTAGTGTCCTAAACTTTCCTTTAAGGTGGTGTTTGAGACTGCCCAAATATTCCTACTGTATTTTAGCTTATTGCAAGCAGAGTTTGAGGAGCTTCTCAGCCACAGTGTAGTTTTCACAGCTTTTCTGGCCAAGATGAAAGTTGAAAGATGCACTGGTCTCAGTGCTGGGAAAACAGACAGCTGTTAGGACTTCTGACTCTTGATAACCAGAAAAGTCTCAGTTGCAATGTACACTTAAGTGGAGGCTGTTAATTTAGTAATGTCCACACCCAAATTTTCTTTTCAAGGTAACTGGTAAACAGGAACCAAGCCCACATGCTAGACGCAGCCAAAAGAAATGCAATACTGGCATGAAAGTGTTAAACCGTAAACACTTTTATTTAAGAAAGCATGCACAAAAATAAATTTGTGATACCTCTCTGCCTGACCCTTGACACAAAGCACTGTGAGTTGCTACTGTGGAGCTTTAAGAACTCTGCATGGCAGGTTTGATTCCCTTCACTCCCCACAACTGGTATCAGTGCAGAGACCCAAATAGGCAACCCAATGCCTTCCCATCCACTGGCAATTTACATGTTATTCAGGGGCAGAGGAATGAGTCACAAGATTTGACATGTATTTACATATGCAAGTGATGGTTGTAATGGATGGATGCAAGTAATACGCAGATGATGTAAATATGCAAAATGTGGGCACAAGCATTCGTGGAAGGAGTCATCTTTCTTTTTTCTTCCAGTGGTTTCAGATTTCCATGGGCCCAGCTCTGCAATATGATCTGCAAAGCGCTAACTGGCACCAACTACAGGTTGTTTTTGGTGCCACATTCCACAGAAACCCAATCACACATGCTTCCATGCTGCATCGTTACCATCCCGAATTGGAGGCAGCACAGACAACAGCTAACTCCATGTTAAAGTTGGCTCTGGGATCCCTCATTCCTCATACTCAATGATATCCCCACCCAACACACACACATAAAAAAAAAAAAAAAAAAAAAGAAATGTCACACTTCCACCTCTTTCCTTCAGTCAGAATAGAGGTTTTTACCTTCTTTGCCCCAGGTTTGTCAAAGCCACCATGCTGTTTTATTTCTGTCTTGTTCCCCTTACTGATAAACAAGGAATAAAAGTTGGGATGGGCTTTACAAAATACTAAAATGAAATAAGAGGTTTGACAGAACACAACTGTACAAGAAAAAAAAAAACAAGAGAGGGAACAAAGGATACAGGTTAGGGAAGGAAGAATTTTGGCACACACTCCTGTATCTTTTTTGCTTTCCTGATTTGCTAGCAGAAACAATTAATTGGGGTTCACACTCTATTCCATCATCCCCTCCAGGTGAACTGCAAGGAGTCTGAACCCTCCTCCCCCCCCCAGTCCCCTTTTTCTATACTATACATGATACATGCTTTACAGTTACCTCTTACCTGGGTGATTATATCCTTGAGAGTCCAGGGTAGAAATCAGACACGATGGAGTTGGATCAGAGAAGAGATGAGGAGGCTGGGGTGCCCTTGACCATAGGATTTCTCTGTGGAATGAAATGAAACAAGCTGTTAATGGTCTAGACAGCTGTCTTGATCCTGACTAGTTTGTATTTCAGCCATAGAGCAGCTCACTCTAACCTGCAGAATACTGAGATGTTCAGTCGCCTGTCCTAACCAAAAGCTACAGCTTGGTCAAGAATCTCATTCTTGGCACCTGCAGAAGTTTCTCTTATTATTTTGAAGGACATTTTTTCATCCAGAAATACCAGAAGATGGCTCAAAGTTTATTTTTTACTGTGCTGTGCTAACTCAAGTTATGGCAGATAGCTGTACGCATTTTGATACATTGGCTAAACATAGTCCTGTGAACAGCAAAAAATATGCAGACTTGTTTCTGTTTTGATAAAGGAGTTTTAGAATAGGTTTCAAGATTGCTGAAAGAAATAATCAAATTTTTGCTATACTTACAACTCCACTTTCATTCAACATAAATATATTTTTCAGATTGAATATGTAGAGTTGAAGTCAGACATTCAACGCAAAAATGGGGTAATGGCTCTTTATCAGACTTTTTCAAGAGGAAAATATCCCTCTCTTCACAATCACTCTCTATTCATGTCATATTCATGTCATTGGGCAGTGTGCACATTTGTGAACAACTGCTGTCAAGAATGAGGCACAGGAAGAATAAAATTTCATCAAAAATCTCTGATGAGCACCTTGAGAACTCACTACGAATTGTGACCACGGCCACTGAACCAGACTGATGTGTTAGTTTGAAAAAATAAAGTGACATATACCATTAGTTTTATGCTTTTGTTGCTCTCTTTTTAAAACTGTACTAATAGAAGTATTAAAAATTAAAATTCGTTTTGTTAAGTATTTATTAACTATATTATATTTGGCTGCTCCAAAAGTAATGCCTCTTGTTTTATTATGTTGGCCCATGACATCAGATACATACATTGGTGGTATGGCAGTAGAGCCTGACCCCTCCTACCAATATTCCATTACATTTTGTTGTCATGAAACATGTAGCAGTGGAGGGGCAGTTTGACAGAGTGATGTTTGACAAGGAAGTGCATACGCAGCAAGGGAATACCATTGAATTCCTCCATATGGAAAGAAAGGCAGCCAGTGATATTTGTCATTGTTTGCTGAATGTTTAGGGAGATAAAACCATAGATATGAGCACAGTGAGGTGGTGGGTGGTGCATTTCAGCAGTGGTGACAGTGACAGTGAGTCACCTCAGCTGCTGCCAGTTTTGAGGAACATGGCTTGCAGGCTCTTATTTACTGATGGTGAAAATATGTAGCTAATAGTGGCAAGTATGGTACAAATTATTCTTCTATAGCTGAGAATTTTCTCTATCAAGCAGAGTTACTGTACTCATTGTATCTATTGTAGTTTCCATGGAAATACATGAGGCATTACTTACAGAGCAACCTATGAATATGCAGCCCAAAACAATTCCTCTTCAGCCAGTGAGGCCCAGACAAGCCACAAAGTTGGAAGCACATGACTTAAGCTGTCTGGATCCAGCATGTAATCTTAAAGAAGTCAAGGAAACATCTACTTTGATGCTTTTGCAATGTAAGCAAGTTAAAATTTTCTTGGCAAAAGGCTCTTGGCTTATGCACTTCACTTCCAGTTTTCATAGCCCATGCAGCTGTGAGGATTATTGCAGACGCTGCAACAAATTGATAACCACTGCAGATGAAGCCTTCAAAGAAAAAGTTCAGGTTGCTTGGCAAGGCTATTGATTATATATCTGTTATCTACAGCAGCTGCATCCTCATAGAATAAATGCATTTAGATTTTAATTGTACAGAGATAGCTGAATTTATAGGCAGGAGTGGAGAAGTATGAATGCAAAAATATGGAAGATCATATGGATATGCAGAATATGCCTACAGTTTCTTAAGGAAAGGAAATTGGATATAGTAACTCAAAATCCATTTCAAAACAGAAGAGCTTTTCTTCTGAGCATTCACTGACTATAATGCAATTTAAAACTTTAAAGATTTTGATTATGATTGTGTAGTATTTAGTATTTTGGGGAATGAAAATCTTTTTGTCCTTGCTTTGACTTTTCGAACAAGAGTAGCCATGCACAGAAATTCACACTTGAATCTACAGATGATACAATTTTCTTTTCTTGACATTTTTCCTTTACATAGAATTGCAACTTTCAAATAGCTAGGCCAAACCACATTTCAGAATATAAATAGGCCTTAATCACACAGAAAGTCAGTCCCTCTCCTTCTAGCTTCTTAATTTCCTGTGGTAGCAAAAGCCTTCCCATACAGGATTCTTCCAGGCTGGTTTTCAATTAGTCTTCTCTGGCTACCCAACTGTTTGTGCAATGGAGAGGAAGAATCCTTCAGTTATTAATGAGGAAAAGCACTCCATAAAATAAAATGGCCCAAGTTTATTCTTCAAAAAGAAGGCAGAGAAGACAGTCATTAATCAAAGTTAAATGTGAAGAGTATTTTTATGTGGAAAAATGTCAAATCTCTGTAATCTGCTCACTCTCAAGAAGGTGGAGTAAAATATCTGATTAAGTCTGAACAGCACAGTTTCATGAAAATTTTCTTCAGGAAGGCAAAAGAAGGGGAAACTGAAACCATGGGGGAAAAGCTGATATCCTGTGTGATATTAGCTAAGTGGGAATTAAGCCTTTGTCCCATCCCGTTCCCTGGTTTGTTTCGTCCAGTGAGAAGACAGTGACTAATGTGTACTTCACTGACTCAGATTAGGTGCACCAAAACAACCTACTATGTGTATTCTGAGCAAGCTGTTGCATATGATCACATATATTTTAAGCAAACAATGTATTAGCTTATTAATTAGTCATTATTCCAAGGGGAGGGGGGTTGCAAGCTGAGGAGTCTCAGGCCAGCTGAAGACAGCTCTGAAACTCTCCTCCAGTGTCATGACTTTACACGCCTTTTACATGTGATTTGCCATGAGAAGTGAGGAGGTTTGGACTATTACAAGTTATGCAAGCTGAGATAAAGATGGGGGTATGAAAAACACATGACTTTGCAGAAAAGCAGAGAAACATTCATTTCCTTGAGACCTCAATTTCAGTTCCCAAAGACATGAGAAGTTGTTCCTAGGTTAATGAAGGGAAGGGAAGGGAAGGGAAGGGAAGGGAAGGGAAGGGAAGGGAAGGGAAGGGAAGGGAAGGGAAGGGAAGGGAAGGGAAGGGAAGGGAAGGGAAGGGAAGGGAAGGGAAGGGAAGGGAAGGGAAGGGAAGGGAAGGGAAGGGAAGGGAAGGGAAGGGAAGGGAAGGGAAGGGAAGGGAAGCAATAATTGAATTTTTTATACTTTCTCATGCTAGAAGTATTTCTGGTCACCTTCCAGAGGAAAAGTCTTACATGTACGTAAGTCTTCAGTTGTGTCACTCATGTATTCTCTATTGCAATTTAGACATACTCATGCATAAAGGGGTGCCACACACTTGGAGAAATGAATAAATAAAAACAGATAGAAACAGCTATGGGAGTCCCACAGGGATGCATTATATTAACTTTTTTCATTTTCCATTAGTCTGAAAAATGATGCTGAGGTTGCTTTTCTTGGGAGCACAGAAATTCCAACTTGAAAAAGCCATTCTATGGAGACATCAGCTAGTGCTTTTATAACTGAGTTACGTACGTCAAATGGCAGTAGAAAAAAGAGTTCATTTCTCTGTTGATGAATGATAACAGGGATTTGCAAGCATGTTACTTTTTCTGTATATACATATCACCCACAACTCAGCAGAGTTTTCTGTAATTTACGATCACTTGTTTCCTTCCCTCATTAAACTACATACCTCTGTATTCTACCCTTAGGATATAATCTCTTGACTTCAGTGTTTTCAAACACTATATACAACAAAATATATTAGAGGCCTGAAGCAGAGGGACTTACAGGAAATACTGTGATCTTTCGTATCTCAGTTGTGATGTGGCTGGTTCATGCAGAAAGGTCGAGGTCCCTGCCAGGGGCTGATAGCAGTAAGCCGACCCTGCTTCTTCATGGAAACTGCTCACAGAGATTGCCAAACACAGAGGAAAATCTATGGCTTTCAGGTGACAGTACTCTAATTTGTCTGAAAACATTGCAGCATCTAAAACCAGACACTAGTTTCCCAGAATTTCACATGGATGTAGATTTCCACACTGTTTCCTAAACCACAGTTCTAGGAACTACACCCTCCCACTTCTGCAGAAGAATAAGAGAAGGGGAGGCATCCTGTGTGAATCATATTATCATGTACCACATTTGTCTCGTTATATGTGCTGATATAAGGACTTTCCATTGGTGTTTTTAGCTATATGTAATCCCTCATGCTGTGCACTTCAACAAACTTAATTTAAATTAAAATGTGCTTTTAAAAAATCATCATATCACAATTTAAGGATTGGGGGGGTGGGGGTGGGGAGGAGTGGGGGTTGGGGGGTGAACATTTCCTTTTAGCTAGCATCTGTATTTGCCTGCCTTACTGAATAGTATTAACTTATCATTTGAATTTTAAATTCTGGCCATTGGATGCTTTTACAACCTGTGTTCTTTCAAAAAGCTTTTCAAATTAGCTGCTCTCTGCAAGGCTGGTGCAGACCATGATGGAGGACATCTGTGCTGAAGGACTAGACCTCTCATGTCTATTAGTTGGTGAAATGTCAGGTGAGTGTGAGGACAGAAGAGGTAAAGCTGAAAATAAGACAGAAGTCCTCATCTTCCTCCAGTCAGGCCTGGCTGCCTCCCAGTGACTGCCCTTGTAATTAAGGCAGTCTTCTAGATGTCAGAAATACTGTGTGTGCAAGATATTTTTATATTTAAAGGACGGGCTGTTGTGGCCCATTTATGTTCTGTGAATTTAAAGAAAGTGGAAGGAATCAGGAGGAGGATAGACCCACAATATGCCCCAGACTTAAACCTGACTGTGGCTTTGTTCTGGGAAATTTCCATAGGTAAAGTATCAAAGATATTCCTGAATCACAGAAAACTTGGATCCAAAAGTAAAAAAAAAAAAAGTTCATTAAAATCAGCTTTGATTTGTCTGGGACCTCTCTGTTTTGATGCTGATCTGTCTTACCTGTCTTCTTAGTGTGAAAAAACAGCAGCACAGATTCCCTGACATCAGCTTTGAGCCTAATAATTCTTGAACTATTGACTAATTTACTCGATAGATTTCATACTGTTTTTGAAAGACTTATCTCTGAATGTTGTTTTTTACTTTCCTTATAGCTCTGCCAGATAAGTGCTAGAGGAGCTCCCAACAAATTTACTGGAAGTAAAAGCAATTACTGTTAGCAAACAGCCTTCAAAGAAACATATGTTCGTCCAATTTAGTCCTGCCTGTGTTGTGTATCTGAAGTTAGAATATATTTTCACTGGAGAAGAGCTTACACTGTTACATCAGTCAGAGGACTGTAGCAGGATACTGCCAGCCAAGAAAATGTAATTTTTTTAATGTGGACACCTCTTGGCTGTTTGAGGCGAGTGATGCAGCTCCTCTAGGAAGAAATACATATTAAAATGAAAGGTCAGCCTAAACACTTCAATTATGATCCCTCCTTCCATGGAAGCATTGCATTTCATCTTATATTAAGAGTTTTAAAATCTTCCTTTATAAAGCATGCATCTCAAAGAATCATCAATGAATGAAATGTAATGCATCCACAGAGAAAAACTTGCTGTCTCCATTTCCACAGAACCAGGTCAATGTTTCCATCCTCCCAGTAAGACAGATGGCTTCCAGAGCAGAGGATTATTTTTGGATGTGGTGATGAATAGAATTGTAAACTTATAAAGCTTTCGACAACATTGAAAAGATCCTCAACCCGGGAGCAGCAGTTTAGAAAAAGAAAAATGGTCTTTTTTTTTCCCCATCAGTCTGACATCTTCCACATGTCCCAATACTTCATATGCTTCTGTTCTGGAATGAAATGAGTAGAGGGATTTCCACGACAATCCTTCTTGCTTTCTTCTATAAATTCAAGTTACAGTGAGTGGAAGTGTGAGTTCTCTGCCTTTCCGTGACTTTTCTGATTTATCCTCTCAAAAATTGGTGTTCTCTTTCTCCTCTACCAAGCCACAACTGATTATCTACTTAGTGAGCAGTATCACAGGTAGTGCCATCCCTCCTGGGAACACGTACAGAATGTGCCACGAATCTGATGTCCCAATAAATAACAAAAATGCACACATGTATATATGCAAAGATCATAGTATCAGAGACCACAGTGCATTTGCCTGAATGTAGAGTGGGATATATACCCTACCCTGCTAAACACATGAAACAGATGGCTTAGGGCAGGGATTTGCAAGCTGCAGTCTGTAGGCCGCATAAGGAGAAGCACAACCCATCCTATGGCTGCCCCCTGCTCTACACAATCATGGACGTGGCTCTGACCTACCAAGCAGCCCGGCCTAGCCTCAGCCATGCGTGTATTGCTCAGCAGCCAAACATCGGTGTGCAATAGGCACTGTCTGGGCTGAAACAATGACAAGGAGTGCAGTGCTGACTCAAGGTGTGGAAAGCAGTTTTATGCATTTGTTAAACACAGTCAGTCCTGTGAACAATGAGAAATATATAGCCTTGCTTTCTGATTTAATAAAGGGATATGAG